AAGTTGTTCATGGTTATTCCTAATGGGATAAGTTCATCGTTGGACCGTCGTAGTGCCTTCATGACGGATACTGGCATGATATTGACCATAGCCCCACAATCGACGAAGATTTTAGAGATTGGATAACCTTCGATGTGAGCCGTGACATACAACGACTTCAAACGTTGAAGATTAACCGAAGAAAAGTGAGGAAACAGTATGGCCAGAGCTGCTTTAAGTTTGTCGGCTTTACTAGCTTGCCCATCTTCTTCAGTAGTGATAAAATCAACTTGTGTTGCTTCCTTGGCAACCACATCCCCATCCAAGGAATTTGGTTAGGGTGTGGTTGGTTGAAATTTAGCAAGTAGGACATGGACCATGCTGATTTCCATATCGTCGAAGACTGAAGGGCCCATCGGGTCTTGGTCATCGTCCACAGGGTTATCGAGTACGGTATCATGCTTTGGAGCTTCTTTGACCTGATCATCTCTCGCCTCATTGAGTACCTACTCATATGGTGTGTCAACTCAACCTGTTTCATTTTGGTTGTCATCTTCGAGCTCGGTCATTGTTGGGGCTTAGTTTTGTCCTTGCAGAGCTTTACGGGCTCGTTCTTCTTTGACATGATCCTTCTCATTAGCCGTAAGGCTGAAAAGACATACGACTGAGAAAACTTCGAAATGATGTCGTAAATACTCAAGGTCTTCAAAAGAGAAAGGGAGCTCGGCGATGTCTATGTTCGTGTATGGGTCGACCTTGAAGCCAAAGACCTGAGCTTTACATATATGCTGGAACCTGGCCTTCATTGATGGGTCAGTAGTTTTCTGAATAATCTGTTCAACATCAAGGCAAGTGAATGTCAGGTCGAGGGCTTCTTACGACGCCTTGGGTAGGCCATATAAGTCATTGGCATAATGTGTCTTATGAAATTCTCGCATGTATTTCAAGGATTCTCCTAGGAATGGAGGATGTAAATTCCATCGGACTTTTATTAACAGCTCTCGCTAGGGTAGTGGGGGAAACTTGCTTTCGGCTTCTTGTCTGAAATGCTCAAAACGAGTTTTCATCTCCCCGGGCCAAATGAGGAGTTTGATGCACTTCTCGGATTCATCGATGATGATTTCAAAGTCGCGATCAATTACCTTTTTCCCTTGAAGTAATTTGGCCATGATTGTTGGGGTTTGTTGATCATTTATGCTGCCTGCTGCTTCTTTCGGCTGCCATTTGGTAGCCGAAGTAGCTTGTGCTACCTGTCGTCGAGCCATGCAGTCTATCCGTTGGTGTCAACGTTTCTGAGATTTGGATAATGCAATATACACGCCAGTAGGAGAATTGTAACTATACCAACATTGGTCGCGTGGCTCATGTGGCTTAAAGGTTTTCTGATTCATCGATGAACTCGAGCTACTGGAGTTACGTGAGTAATAATCCTCATCATAAAATGGCGCATTGAAATCAAGACACCGTCTGGCTGAGGGGGGCGTTCGTTCGTGCTTGATAGCTGAGTCTATCGAACACCTTATAGCGCTGGCATCCGCCAAGTTCATTTGAAGGTGTTGCCGCAGCCTTGGATGGTTGTCTTGGTGTTTGAGCCTGAGGTAGTTTCTCCTTTGGCTCGATTAGGACGACGCATGATTTAAAACGGCTACACAAAACCATCGGTCCCTCAGTTTCCTCTGCACTGGTGTCTGACATGGATCCACAATGGCCAATCTTGAAAACTCTGTAGGTGGCTCGTTTGAAAATAGATCAATCTTGAGTCACGCCCGAGAGTTCTACTTTGGGACGTGTCGTATTGCAACAAACTCGGCCTTCATTTCCCTTTGTTTTTGGATAAATGAGCATCTACCATGCCAACTGTCGCCGAAGGGAAAGGATCAACGTCAACAATCATCTTTTTCTTTGGAAATTTTAGCTTGCCTTTATCAATCCCGCTTTGAATAGCATCCTGGAACACGGTGTAGTTGTTTGTGGTATGCTTATTCGAGTTATGGTACTTACAATAAGTTTTGTCTTTCAGCTCTTTGGGCTTATGAATGTTATGTCCTCGCCGAAGTTTGATGATCTTTGCCAGCAACAACTAGTGGAAAATTGCATCGGCCTTGGTGATGTCGAAAGTGTAAACTTTTGATGCTTTATTTATCTCTTCAGGGACCGAGCGAGTTTTGGTATCCTTATAATTAATTTGAGCCAATGCCTTGCATACATACGACTTATCTATCATTATCTCGGCCGCGTTCACATTGGCGTATTGGGAATCTTCGCCCTCAGCCGATGCGTAGCTAACCGTGGGATTCTTGTCAATCGTTCCCCGGGATAGGGACTTCGAGATCTTTTTTTCTCAGATCAAATAATCATATTGCTCGACGTGCTGGGCCAGCTCATACATATCTCGGAAGTTTTCCCCTAAGAATTTCTTTTTATATTCCATATCCAAGCCGTTCAGAGCGATTCTGACGAATTCAACTTCGAGGAAAGGTACTCGGCACCAATTTCTAGCCGACTTGAACCTCGTTAAGTATTCTATTAGCTACTCGTCAGATGCTTGAGCCATCCTGGCCAGTGATGAAACTGACATTTCCATCCCTGGCCGATAGAATTGTTCATGGAACTTTTTGACCAGTTCCTCCCAACTTTGGATGAAGTTAAGCGGGAGGTTGATGTACCAAGCAAATGCTGAACCTGTTAGTAAGAAGTTGAATAGTCGCAGTTTATGGAAGTTGCTATTAACATCTCCGCATTGTGCAGTAAACCGAGCCACATGTTCTAACGAAGATAGGGACGACTAGCGAGTAAAAAGGCTGAAGTCGAGGATCTTAAAGCCTTTAGGATATTCAAACTTTTCCATATAAGCCGGATATGAATGGATGAATTTCGGGAACTTCGCCCATTTTTTCAATGCCGAGTCGATCATCATTTGGACCTCGATCATATTGACGGATGTTGTTTCCTTTCTCGGGTCGGATCCATCTGATCTACTGCTCGATCCTCCTTTTTTTTCCAATTCAATTATTTTGAGCCAAGAAGATCCTGTTTCGACTTGTGGCGAACTACTCCTAAATGGAAATTGTCGAAGCTGACCAACGGGTCCATCTTCGAAGGCTTTACTGACCAATAGCTCACACAACCTGGTATATGTGTCACCATTACTTCGTATCACATCGAGCAAACTGTTCATTTTTTGGCTGACTGACTGTTCAACCTATCGAGATTGATCATCAAGTCGTCTTCGAAGAAACAACCTAGTCGGGGGATCAAAGCGTTCACCACCATCTTCATCGCAGTCTTCCACTATCCCTTCAATTAAAATGCATGTGGTTTTGTTGGGAATTTCTGTGTTGCAAGGCTAACCGCCGAGGCAAACTTCCCTTTCTCGGTGCGTTGCATTTGTAGCCTCAGGTGTCGCAGTGACAAGAGGATTTTGTACCTGTGACAAATCTTGTCCAGGACCCTGAACTGGTAAGTCGGTCGTTAACTTTCCCATGACTGTTTTCTTTTTTACTGACCGTGTCTTAATGGTCATGAACTCCGAAGTTTTAAAACTTGGTCCCATTAGGCGTGCCAAAATGTTGACCCTAAAAACTACCAAGCTTACGTGGCGCGCGGACCGAGTAACTAATGAGCTAACTACGTCATTCGGTTTTATGCAGGCGTGCCAACTCCTCGGCCGAGAAGTAAAATATGTTGATGTTGCGTCGGATGCGCTGCTGACTTCTCGATCTTGCGATTGCAGTCGAGGAATGAACACGTCTCGACCTTCGGGTTCTAGAGCTTAAAGATAAGGCTGCTAGTTCTACGAAGTTTACAAATCGTCGGTGTCGGATTCGGTCACTGTGATTATATTTGTAAGAGTATAAACACGCTGAATCGACACCAGACTATATGGACATAAGTATTCAAAGCAGATGTACATCTTAATCGTAAATGTGGTTCGGTTGTCGGAATGCAGAACTCTAAATCTAACTTGTGAGTATCTAATCATAAAACAACTTGACATTCAATGCGCCGAGTCTAGTGATTCATAACACCTCACTTCGCTGAGAATGATCGTGGGATGACCTTTGTCGAAAACCCTTCTCGACCGAGACTTGGATAGATAATCAGTTGGCCTTGATGCAATGCTATTTATCCAAACTGAAGGGGCTTCGCAGTCAGCTGATTCTACAGTGGCAATGTTGTTTATCCAAACTGAAGATGTTCGCTGGTTGCCTTCACAATGCTGTTTATCCAAACTGAAGATGTGTTGGCGTAAAAGAAAATAAAAAAATCTCAAGGTTGTTGAGAGGTTTCGCGTAGAGCGAGAGTTTGCGCAAGGCAATTTGTGTGTTGAGTTTGAGACCTTCGCATGACGCACCCCTTCCTATTTATAGCAGTCAATCTCCTCTTGGCTGAATCAGAACTATACTCGGATTATGATTCTTTATCCTAATCCAACCAGGCCTCGGTCAATCCTACCTCCACTAAGATTCTGAAACAAACTCCTTATCCGGCCACCTTCACTTCTCAAATCTCAGCATTCTTATTCCATTAAGACTCCTTATCATACCAGGACTCGACCCATTCGCTCTTATCCAGATTAATCCTTCTTACAATAAGACTCAACTGACCTGACTGGGCAGCCCATGACCCCTGGCCGGCCCACAATATTTTCGGAAAAGCTTTGGACCGAACATAAACCTATGCTCGGCCTAATAATGTTATTTTGGGCCCAAACAGAATCCTAGAAATTCCATGATAGTGACCATTCATCATATATCATTCCTAGAGCGAGTGCTTGAAAAAATAAATAAATACAACTCAGTGATTCACCTAAGTCATTGAGCCCCAAACCTACCGTGGCGGTGAGGAAACGGCAATCCAAAACCCGATCCCATGTGGCCCCGCTTACATATTACCGTTACTCCACCTGTTGCTTCCTTCGTTCTCATCGCGCCATTAAAACGTTACCGTTTCTTCGGGTGGCAGTCTCGTAAATGCAGCTTCTACGTTATACAATATCTATATCGCTGTATATAAATGTTCGCCATGTATTCCTATAGGCTGTGAGAGTTTGGGTGTTCGTTTGCGTGTGCTTTTCGGTTCCAATTCGTACATTCGATCGCCTCTGCGCAGCTACAGGTCTTCATGGACTCGCGGGCTTTCTGATCCATCACCAAACATTCGCATTGAGCACACTCTCTCTCTCCTAGGGCTCCAATTTCCCCCAAATTTCTCGCAATTTGGAACCGAAACTGAGACCAATTGGGGGTTTTCTGCGGCCTGATAAAATTCCTAGGGTTTTCCGATGACCTATGACGATTGTAAGGATCGGGGAGAGGTGGTGCCGGAGCTGATTTTGAGAATTGGGGGCGAAGACGGCAAAGGGGACTATATGAAGTTGGGGGATGGTGATCGTGGCGGTTGTGGGACGGCGGAGGGGTTTGAGGCGGAGGTGGAGCCACCTTCTACTAGAAAGTTAGCTTCTTTGTGGTATTGGGTTAGGTTGGTACTGTTGGTTATGTGCTTGGGGTTGTTGGCTGGGGTTTTTGCAAAATGGGTCGGACCATATTTCATGGATAACGTAAATTGTTCCCCTTCTTTTATTTTTCGTCTGTGTTTTTGTTTTGGATTTTGCTTAATTGTTATCATAGGGCTTTTATGTAAAACTCTGGTTGATTGTGTTTCGGTATTCGGTATCCTTATTTCTGTAATTTTGGTCCATGTTAATGAAGGGATGTGTGAGTTTTTTTATTGGAATTCATCAATTTGTTGTTCTGAATATACAATCAACCCAACTTGCTGATTTTGTTACTGCCGTTGTCTTTGATTAAATGGTTTTCGTTTCTTTTTTCGGAAGAATTTGTACATTTGAGAATGCCCTTTCTCCTTTTTGTGGCAATTCCTATGTTCCTGGAATGAAAGACACTGCTAATTTGTGAAGAATTAAGCTTTTTGGTGAAATGGGTAGTCATGTGCTACATTTGGGATTATAGTTGGGAGATTGTATTTTCGGTGACTTTGGCAATGTTGATGGCTGTAGTCATTTATGTGGCAGTGACATTAAGTACCGAAGCACACTCACTATGTTTCACTTTTAAGCGGATTTCGAATATTTTAGACTAGACAGTAAATAATTGCATCGTGCCGTTAATTCATTGCATGGTGTCTGCCTAAAACCATTGCTGCTTTGGTGAATAAACATAGGAGATTAAGACTACATCATGGTTATTAGATGTTATAATCCAGCGGTCTTGTTTATGATTTCTGTATATTCTTCCTATTTCAGCTAGCTTTGTCATAATGTCTTATACTATGCTGACTATTGATGAAATCATTTATAGGAGATTATTCCAATTCTTAACTGGGAGACAAGAACATTCAGTCCTCCAGTGCTTGCAGTTCTAGTCTTTGCTTCTGTGGCATTATTTCCCACTGTACTTTTACCATCGTCACCTTCTATGTGGGTGGCTGGCATGACTTTTGGTTATGGCTATGGATTTCTTCTAATCATATCAGCAGCAGCTGTGGGTGTATCACTTCCATTTTTCGTTGGCTCTCTCTTCTATCACAAAATTCAAGTGCGTAACATTCCATTTAACATATTGTTTTTTTTTTCTTTCAGGTTTATGCTCTGTGTTTGCGTGCACGCACTTAATGTGGTTTAACATTTCTTGATGCTTATGCAGGGGTGGTTAGAAAAATATCCAAAGAGAGCATCTGTTTTAAGATCAGCTGGGGAAGGAGACTGGTTTCATCAGTTTCGAGCTGTAACATTAATCAGGATTTCTCCATTCCCTTACATTATCTATAATTATGCTGCTGTGGCAACAAATGTCAAGTACGTTCCTTACCTGTTAGGGTCATTGGCGGGAATGGTGCCAGAAACATTTGCCGCCATCTACACGTATGTTAAATCCACTCCCCCTCTCTCACTCATAGGTTCAGCCATGTCTTTATGTCCATCGTTTTAGGACTCTTGCATTTTTTAACACATCTTATGGAATAAATATACGTATGAGTATATTGGCAACAAGACATGTTCACATGTGCATAGGTACCTGGATTGTATTTATTTGTATAATTCTTCTATGTTTGAAAATCTTATGAGGAGTCCAGGAAATTAATGTTTTCGTAAAATGAGATCTTCTGGTAGATGGGGGTTTGTGCTTAATCTATACATGTTGAACTGATTTAGTAGTTTTAAGAATATAAGCATATAAGTGCCTCATGTATTAAGGTGATTTTGGAAGTGCATTAAATCTGTTTCCAGAGCTAGATTCACAATTAGGAATTTCCTTGTTTGAGAAAGAATGCCAACTGATTCAAATATCTTTTATTGGTGAACCTCCATTGATCGTGTTCAATGTAAATGTGGCGTTGTAAACGCATTAAACAATATAGTTTCACTGGGTTGGATGGTTGAAAGTTGCAGTTACTGTCCTGGCCTTCTTTAGTAGTTCCCTGCACCAGTATGCACTTGGTGTCTTCACACCACGTCACTATTAATTTCTGATTATTGGTAATGGTAGCTAAGGGAGTTATCTTGTTTACCGCAGTAGAATATGCCTAAACATTTATACCGAGTTGTAGTGGCCTTGTTCCGATCAATTGTAAAGGCATCTTCTCTGGTGTCTCAATTCATTGTAACCAGTTTGTTAATTATTCATACCATTCTTCCTAATCTGGAGGCAAGACTTTTTCATGCTTTCATGTTATACTGGTTTGTTTTCTGGAGTGTGAAGCTGAATAATAGTTGAAGTACTTAGCCATCTCCCGTCTTTTTCTCATGAAAATTGCTCCGTTTAGATTTTGGACCAATCAATTGTGCTTTAACTTATCCTCAAACTTCCTCTCCTATTTTCATTGCAGTGGGATCCTGATACGGACGTTGGCAGACGCTTCACATGAGCGCCATGGTCTTTCAGCCCCACAGATAATCTTCACTGTAGTTGGCTTCTCTTTGACTGTGGCTACCACAATTTTCTTCACGGTGTACGCCAAAAGGCAGCTTAAGGAATTACAAAAGGACGAAGAGCCACTGCTGCACTAAAGCTTATGGTCAGGAAGACAGAAACACGGTGCGGGGATGAAGTTATTTTACTATACGGCTTCTTCCGTTGATCTTGTCATTGTATTGAATTGATGCAAATATAAATAGTGTGGAAGACGCGGAGGAGAAGCAGCCATGACATGCATTCAAGATGCTTGACACTATTATACCAGGCAGGCATTTTTTCTTTAAAACAAGTGTTGATTTGTTCTCCCTCTCTCTCTCTCTCTCTTAATTATCTGATGTATATGATTGAAATGATGCTTCAATGATTGGAATTGAACTCTTGCAAGATTCTTGACTGTATATAACGAAGGACTCATTAGTATATTGATTTAGATTCCCCTCTCGCTCTCTAGCATGTTGATACGTTGGCTATTATCGATACTTTGATTACATAGTTGATGTGCGTCAAGTTTACCATTAGAAGTCTACTGGTAAATAGTAAATAGTTGTGGCCATAGCGTCATTTCATTGAATGGTAGGACGAGTCAGCTGGTTTGGCTTAAAGGTTTTCTCCTTCAAATAATGAAAACGAGAAACTGTAAGATGCCTTGTTACTTGCTAGTGGTCCTGATTACCGATTCGTGTTTACCTAAGAGAACAGAAAACAATTTCGGATTATCGAAATTTTCAACTTAAATTAAACTATTAAATATATAAAATTGTCATAACTTGCAAAGTGTATTCCGCCAGAGGTTATCATCTCTGGTTGGTCATCTTCTGTTGACCGAAAATCTATGAATTATAGCCAATAAAAGGTGGATCAATGGTTAGAGACGAATTTCAAATTCGTATTTCACAAGGCACGTTTTGGGTTTCATTCCGAGCGTTTGTGAATCACATAATGGTGGTTAAAAGGAGGCTGAAATGCTTATGAGTATTTGGACCCCTGGAAGGGTGGACTGCAATGACAAAGTCACCAGCTGATTTTTTTTCAAAAAAAAAACAAAAATCTATAGTAGATTATAACATGATTTATCATAAAAATGTTAATAGAATAGGACAGAGATCCCAGCCGAATCTCACCCCACCAAATCTTAAGAATCTGAAGATCTGGACAGTTGAAAATTGATCCAACGGCTACAAACAGGAGGCCCTCTAAAGGTGATAATAATTATAGCCGTTAGATCAAATTTAACGGTCTGAATCTCCTGATCCTTTGGACTTTGTGGGAGATATCCAACTGGGATCTCTATCCAATAGGGAACTGGATCATTTCCTGAGCTCAGGATGGGGATCCTCCTGAGCCGCTCATCCGGACTGTTAAAATTTAATCTAACGACTCCAAACAGAGGATCTCTCTAAAAGTTATAATAATTGCAGTCGTTAGATCAAGTTTGAAAGGCTCGAATGAGCTGTTTAGGAGGATCCCCATCTTGAGCTCAGGGGATCCAGTTCCGTCCAATAGAATAGGCGATTAACATAATGTGACAAGTATGGTACAGATTCTCATTCTTTGGTACCAAAAATACAAGTCATACCTTCAATTTTTTTATCTTCGATTCTTTTTTTTTTCTTTTGAAACTTTATCTTTGACTCTTTCTGCCGACAATTTAACAGAATTTATATATTGATTGATGTGCCAAGAGCATATGTATGCCACTGCCATTTAGTTTTTTAGTTTTTATTTTATTTTTTTTCGGTAAAAAGGTAAGTATATTACCAAACAAACGAACTTACTATCTGTACAACCAAAGGTCCAAAAATGAAAGTACATAAACAAGCAAACTGGACCAGCCAAACAAACCAAAGCAAAGCAAAGCCCAAAACAGAAAAAACTAAAGTAAGCGGAGAATTCGACGACAACCGCCATTACAACAGTACATCACGATCCGCCCAATTCCACGCCTCCAACCTCACGTCGACTCGCCGATTGTAGCATCCAACCCCAAGCACCACTTGGTACGCATCCACAATCGAAGAAATTCAGCTACCAGAAGAAAGAAGTCCGTGAAAATTCATGAACAACACTGCCAAGAAACATTAAATTAATACTTAATTCTTGACTTTTGTTGTATGCAAAACCAAACATTAACTAATTAAGTGGTTTCTATTCTATGGTTGTAGGGTTTTTATTCTCACACACGTAAAAAAATTAAATAAAGTTAAAAGGGCTTTAAACATTTTAGGGTTTTGGGAAATATTGTGCAATTTTCACACCAAGGATAATTTCTTCAATTTGGAACTTGCTATAGAAGTAAAACTCTCAATTGGGGATTTCTACAAGTTTAACTAGCAGAGCTTCCATATTCAAAACATATAATAAAAGAAAAACTAATGAAAAAGGTTTGAAAATTTTGAGTTTTAATGATAAGGACAAAATAAAGCGTATAGTGAATAGTACCAGAATTGATTTTTTAATGTAAAATTGTGGTTTTTCGTTAAAGTGAACAGTACCGAGAGTTTTTCGTTAAAATTCTCAATAATAAAAGCAATCAACTAAATTTACAATATGCAAATAACACATCCTACAAGTTAGAAAGTTCTTCCAACCAAAACAACTCATCCGGGAGACCCGAAACCCCAAAATTTGTCAAACGTTGTGCAACACTATTTACTTGCTACATTATTAAATTGAAAAATTAGCATATCATTAGCACCTAGCTTGTTGATTCATAAATTGGTGCGTATTTTGGTATTTGATTTTCTCATTAAAAAATTTAATTTCTTGTATGAATCGATACATGTATGAGAACTACTTATTATATCTTGGCTAGCAGTCAGAATTTGTCCAAATCTTAATAAAATTAATTGAACCAAAGCCTCTTCTTTCATCACATATTGTGTTTTGTTCACAACACACAATTCGTTCCAAGTTATTGTCCCATTACCACCTACAAAACAATACATATAAAATAGTTCCAATTACCAAATATAATAAATAATTGTATAAAAAAAATATCTGAATTCAGGAATAAAGATGATGATTCCATGCAATGCAACAACAAATGTTGTGGAGTAAAAAATAATCAAAATTATAAAGGCAACAGTGTACTTTTAGGTGAAAATGATAAAATTGCTCTCGAGCCACACCATAACTCTCACGCACAAACAGCGGGCAATCACAACTCAATCAAGGTCAAAAGTGATCAAAATAGGTATTTATTCAAAATCTAATTCATCCATTCTCATCAAATCCTCCCCACAAGGTAACCCTAAATTATTCATTCAAATTAGGATTAATTACCTAAATTAATTGATTAATTTTCTAATTAATTAATTAATTTCCTAATTGATTGCAAGATATTATTTTGGCATAATATTTTGCAATTACACCAAAAAACCACCATAAGTGGCCAAACCCCTTTTCTCCAAATAGGGGCCAACCACACCCTTATAAATAGCTCTTATTTCTCCCAAAAACCTAAGTCCAATTCTCTTCTAAAATTCTCCAAATTTCTCTAAACACTTTCTCTCTCAAATTCTAACTCCCCCCCCCCCCAAGTCATCGTGGGCGCATGAGGCCTTGACCTAAGGTGTTAATTATTTTGCAGTGCATTTTCTTCTAAGAAGGAGAAGGTGGAAATTTGCATCCACAAATTGGTGCTTTCATTGAGAGTTTGATTCACACACTCGAAGAAGACTCTCACATTCAAAGTTTCATAGTTCTTGTTCATTTGTAGATTTTTCGTACGTTCTTATTCTTAGAAATTTTTTATAAAATTCTTTGAATAAACGTAAAAGAAAATTGTTGTCACAGCCCATCCCGAAACATGACACACCCCGGCCGAAGTCCAGACGTGTTAGCCGTCACGTAAGCGTGATGTAGCCTTATGCGCAAAGCGGAAGTGATAAGGAATAAAGAAAACGACCAATTTAAAACCAAGCAACTAGCAATTCCGTTTAAGAAAGGATGCTAGTGAGGGTCTAAGTGTATAAATACACTTTCAGAGCAATAAGAAGATCTAGTTGCAGTCAAGTAGGACAATTACTAAGATACAACTCCTTAAGGTGAATCTTACTTTTCGGATTCTGTCCGAACACCGTTGGATTTCTCGTGGCCACCAAACTCGGCTACCTAAAACCTGGAGGGGCGAAAAACAAAGTTGAGTGGGTTAGTAAAACACATTTACACAAAAACCTTATTTTCCTTTGAATATACTAACCCCTCGCCGTAAAACAAGTATATAGATACTTTCCTAGAAAATAGAATACATAAATATGTATATATCTGAAATCATGCTCAAAATCAAGATTCATATTTGTATGTATGCCATGCCTATATATAACAGAATAAGCAATTTAGGTAAGAATAGTTTCATAAAAATATAACATGTTAGCCGGAACCCGTGTGGTAGTCTGTACAGCTGAATTCATAGCTCAAAAGTCAATCTAACCGGAGTCACTACAATGACCTACGGCACTATACTGCACAAGAGTCGGAACCAAATGCAAAGGTCTGTACGACGATAATGGGTGTAATATAATTATGCTCAATACTACTCTCACATAATAGCCGAGCGATAAATCGTTAGTCATCTACGAGTCAGAACCATAAATAAGGTCTGTACGACAAGACTGTGCACCTAAATTGGATCCAATGTGAGCATATGGTGCGGGAGGTGACATAATAAATAGGCCTGTGTCATATCTTTGGCTAATCACAATCATCCTAAGTGCAGTTTTATGAGCTCCACAATATTCAATCACATATCACATCATCGACAATTCACATAACCAAACATAATTTACCTGAGCCTCCACACCATCATGCAACTATATGCATAATTATGATAATGCATTTACTAAAATAAAATATAGGCATGGCATTTCAATCACATTTCCTTAAATACGTTTTCTGGGAAAAACGTCAAGGTGTATATATATATATACTGAAAATAACTGCCTACTCACTGATATGAAGCTGGGTCGTAACCCCCATGCCTAGCCTAGCTATGCTCGTCCTCCGGATAGGTCTCGCCTATAGGAGAAGCAACTATATAAACGTCACTTTAATGCACATATACCAAAATATGTAATAACCTCTCATACATAGCTCAAATTGGGTATATGAATATACCACAGTGACCTACACAACATCACGATCACCCAGGAATTTTTAAAATAATTTTTTGACCTCGCACGCGTCGCCACACGCCGGTGAGTGCACGGCAATACGGGCAGCCACGCGCAAGGAATCCTGACGGATTCTCTAACCCCGTTAGGAATATTCCGTTAAAAGCTAACAGATTCTGTTAAGTTTACATGACGATGTCAGAATATTCCGTTAACTCTGACGGAATATTCGCTCGTCTTCCCTGATTGCTCGCCGGACTCCTCGCCATCACCGAAAAATTGGGAAATTGAAAAACCTTCATATCTCAGCCAATTCAACACCATTTTAGA